AATTAAAAAACCAATGACTGAAACAGAACATGAACCAGGACGGACCTGAAGGATTCTGATATTTCAACACTCAGACGAACAGACCGAGCTACAAACACAAGCTGTAAACAGCAGGGTGTTAGTGTGAGTGTCGGTAGCGCCTCCTGCAGGCAGATATGAGGAAGTGTCACCAGCGTCTGAGCAGAACTGAAGAAACAGTTTGGATGAACTCAAACAGATTCGACCAAAATAAACTTTTGTTCAGTCGATAAATTCAATTTCTTCTTTGCCGACAGTTGTGTCCTTCAGATTTAAGTTTTGACAGGAGCGTCTCTGTGACAGGTGCGTCTCGGTGACAGGAGCGTCTCGGTGACAGGGGCGTCTCGGTGACAGGGGCGTCTCGGTGACAGGCGGTGACAGGGGCGTCTCGGCGACAGGGGCGTCTCTCGGCGACAGGTGGTCTCGGCGACAGGTCTCGGCAGGTCTCTCGGTGACAGGGGCGTCTCGGTGACAGGTCTCGGCGTCTCGGTGACAGGGGCGTCTCGGTGACAGGTCTCGGCGTCTCGGACAGGTGACAGGTGACAGGGCCGTCTCGGTGACAGGGGCGTCCTCGGTGACAGGGGCGTCTCGGTGACAGGGGCGTCTCGGTGACAGGTGCCTCTCGGTGACAGGGGCGTCTCGGTGACAGGGGCGTCTCGGTGACAGGGGCGTCTCGGTGACAGGGGCGTCTCGGTGACAGGGGCGTCTCGGTGACAGGTGCGTCTCGGTGACAGGTGCGTCTCGGTGACAGGGGCGTCTCGGTGACAGGGCGTCTCGGTGACAGGTGCGCTCTCGGTGACAGGGCGTCTCGGTGACAGGGGCGTCTCGGTGACAGGGCGTCTCGGTGACAGGGGCGTCTCGGTGACAGGTGCGTCTCGGTGACAGGGGCGTCTCGGTGACAGGGGCGTCTCGGTGACAGGAGCGTCTCGGTGACAGGGGGTCTCGCAGGGGCTCTCGGTGACAGGGGCGTCTCGGTGACAGGGGCGTCTCGGTGACAGGGGCGTCTCGGTGACAGGGGCGTCTCGGCGACAGGGGCGTCTCGGTGACAGGGGCGTCCATAGCCTCAGTCAAATGAAGCTCATGGAGGGCAGCAGCTCCACATCAGGAAGAAACATGGATCTGGGACAAAATGTTGAGGTCAAACCTCAAGGTCACATAGAGCAGGTCAAAGGTCATAAGGTCAGAGAGAGGGTCACAACACACACACACACACACACACACACACACACACACACACACTGAACTGGAGGTTCAGGTTAGTCCCTGTCTGTGTGCGTCAGGTGTTTTTGTGCGTCTCTTTTCATAATAACAGTTTGTGTTGGAGTTTGTGTCATTATGAGATCAACCTGACAACACACACACACACACACACACACACACACACACACACACACACACACACACACACACACACACACACACACACACACACACACACACACACACACACACACACACACACACACACACACACACACACACACACACACACACACACACACACACACACACACACACACACACACACACACACACACACACACACACACACACACACACACACACACACACACACACACACACACACACACACACACACACACACACACCATACACACACACACACACACACACACACACACACACACACACACACACACACACACACATACACACACACACACACACACACACACACACACACACACACACACACACACACACACACACACACACACACACACACACACACACACACACACACATACACACACACACACACACACACACACACACACACACACATACACACACACACACACACACACACACACACACACACACACATACACACACACACACACACACACACACACACACACACACACACACGACACACACACACATACACACACACACACACACACACACACACACACACACACACACACACACACACACACACACACACACACACACACACACTACACACATCACACACAGATCACACACACACATGACAGAAACGCTGAGGAACGAGGGAACGAGGGAAGAGAGGGACGGAGATGAAGAAGGAGAAGAGAGAAAGAACAGAGAGAGAGAGAGAGAGAGATAATGAAAGGTGGTGGTTTGTCGCTGAGGTCACTGTCTGTGTTTTTATAGAACCTTGTGTCATCAGAGAGAGAAGGAGAGAAGGAGAGAAGGAGAGAAGGAGAGAAGGAGAGAAGGAGACAGAGGAAGAAGATAGAGAGACTATTATAACACAGAGAAAGAGAGAGGGAGAGAGGGAGAGAGGGAGGAGAGGAGATATCCTTGAGATGTTCTGTTGCACAGTTTGGATATTTTAGGACAAAAGTTTTATAAACATTAAAACAAAATGAAACTTAAATAAATCTAAATAAATCCAGAAGCAAAATGTTTGAGTTTGGACCAAATAAAAAAACTTCAGGAAAATAATGAGACTTTTTTCTTTTTTTTTTTTTTTTCACATTTTCATTTTAAAGTGACAGGTGTAATTTCATTTCACAAACACTGAGCAGGAGATAAAGCCGCACTGTGTAACTTTCTGGTTGAGGGTCCGTCTCCTGTTTGTTTCCATGGAGACGTCATTACTCTGTCTGGAATGTTCCACTTTAAACAGCTCCACTTTACATTTATTTAATCACAGGAGGAGGACTAAACCAGGTCTAAACCAGGACTAAACCAGGTCTAAACCAGGACTAAACCAGGATCTAAACCAGGTCTAAACCAGGACTAAACCAGGTCTAAACCAGGACTAAACCAGGACTAAACCAGGTCTAAACCAGGACTAAACCAGGTCTAAACCAGGTCTAAACCAGGACTAAACCAGGTCTAAACCAGGTCTAAACCAGGTCTAAACCAGGACTAAACCAGGTCTAAACCAGGTCTAAACCAGGACTAAACCAGGACTAAACCATGACTAAACCAGGATTAAATCAGAACCATTTGTGTCTTTAGTTTGTGATTTGTTGAAAAAAATAATTGTGCCAAAATGTTTTTGTTTTTTGCAATGGATTTAAAGCTGCAGTGTGTCACTTTTCAAGCAGGTGATGCTCAACCAAAAAGTTCCACAGTGCAGCTTTATCTCCTGCTCAGTGTTTGTGTGTGTGTGTGTTTGTGTGTGTGTGTGTGCGTCTCATTGGTCACAGATGACATCATGTTTTAATATTAACATTGACTGGAGTCTTCACATTCTACAGCCGTGTGTCAGGTCCCTCCCCATGTGTCACTCCCCGTGTGTCAGGTGCCCTCCCCGTGTGTCACTCCCTGTGTGTGTCAGGTGCCCTCCCCGTGTGTCAGGTCCCTCCCCGTGTGTCAGGTCCCTCCCCGTGTGTCACTCCCCGTGTGTGTCAGGTGCCCTCCCTGTGTGTCAGGTCCCTCCCCGTGTGTCAGGTCCCTCCCCGTGTGTCACTCCCCGTGTGTGTCAGGTGCCCTCCCTGTGTGTCAGGTCCCTCCCTGTGTGTCAGGTGCCCTCCCTGTGTGTCAGGTCCCTCCCCATGTGTGTCAGGTGCCCTCCCTGTGTGTGTCAGATGCCCTTCCCCATCACATATCATAATATATATAAATAAATAAATAAATAAATAAATAATAACAAAGAGTAAAAAAAATACCTTTTAATTCTATATAAAAGCTGCTATTTTATTTATTTAAGCCAGTATTTTATTTATTTTTATTTATTTATTATTTCTATTTTATTTATTTCTATTTTATTGTATTTATTTATTTCATTTTTATTTATTTTTATTTATATTCATATATGTTTATTTTGTTTTATTTCTATTTATTTTATTTATTTATTAATTTTATATTTTATTTGTATTTGTATTTATTTGACAGTGTCGGGTTTTAAGGCGGATCTTGGACTCGGTCGGAGATTCCGCCTTAAATTCAGTGGGAGTGACTCATGATCCCTGAAAGAACCAGACCAGGACCAGAACCAGACCAGGACCAGAACCAGACCAGGACCAAGACCAGGACCAGACCAGAACCAGAACCAGACCAGGACCAGAACCAGACCAGGACCAGACCAGGACCAGAACCAGACCAAGACCAGGACCAGAACCAGACCAGGACAAGGACCAGAACCAGACCAGGACCAGAACCAGACCAGAACCAGACCAGGACCAGAACCAGAACCAGAACCAGACCAGGACCAGAACCAAACCAGGACCAGGACCAGGACCAGACCAGGATCAGACCAGGACCAGACCAAGATCAGATCCAGACCAGAACAGACCAGGACCAAACCAGGTCTAAACCAGGTCTAGACCAGGAGCAAATGTGAAGTTTAATCCAACAGAAGATCGTGTGTAGAAGTGAAATTCTACTTTGGTCTTGATAAAAAAGGTTTTTTTCTCTTTATTATGACACAAATTATAAAAATTAAACCTGAAACTCAGAAAAATGAACTGAAATAAAAAGAATGTGTGTGTGTGTGTGTGTGGGTGTGTGTGTGTGTTTTGTGTGTGTGTGTTGTGTGTGTGTGTGTGTGTGTGTGTGTGTGTGTGTGTGTGTGTGTGTGTGTGTGTTGTGTGTGTGTGTGTGTGTGTTCTTGATGTAAAGTGGATTTTTCAGAATATTTCGTCTTTATACAGATATTTTGTGCGTTTCGGAAATCGTGTTTGTGTTTAAACAGATATTTTGTTTATATATTTTGTGCGTTTGTTTCAGAGATTGTGCGTGTGTGTTTTAACAGACGTGTTGTGTGTATTTTGTGCGTTTGTTTCAGAGTTTGTGCGTGTGTGTTTTAACAGACGTGTTGTGTGTATTTTGTGTGTTTGTTTCAGAGATTGTGCGTGTGTGTTTTAACAGACGTGTTGTGTGTATTTTGTGCGTTTGTTTCAGAGATTGTGCGTGTGTGTTTTAACAGACGTGTTGTGTGTATTTTGTGTGTTTGTTTCAGAGATTGTGCGTGTGTGTTTTAACAGACGTGTTGTGTGTATTTTGTGCGTTTGTTTCAGAGATCGGTCGTGTGCGTAAGGACATGTACAACGACACGGTGAACGGAGGGATGTTCACAGGTCGAGACGAGGAGCTTCCTGAAGCCATCGGCCCCGTCGCACAACTGCAGGAGAAACTCTACGTGCCCGTCAAGGAGTACCCCGACGTGAGTACACAACTATACACACACAAATACACACACGACACGTCAAGGAGTACCCCGACGTGAGTACACAACTATACACACAAATATACACACACAACTATACACACACAACTGTACACACACAAATATACACACACAAATATACACACACAAATATACACACACGACACGTCAAGGAGTACCCCGACGTGAGTACACAACTATACACACAAATATACACACACGACACGTCAAGGAGTACCCCGACGTGAGTACACAACTATACACACAAATATACACACACGACACGTCAAGGAGTACCCCGACGTGAGTACACAACTGTACACACACAAATATACACACACGACACGTCAAGGAGTACCCCGACGTGAGTACACAACTGTACACACACAAATATACACACACGACACGTCAAGGAGTACCCCGACGTGAGTACACAACTATACACACAAATATACACACACGACACGTCAAGGAGTACCCCGACGTGAGTACACACAACTATACACACAAATATACACACACGACACGTCAAGGAGTACCCCGACGTGAGTACACAACTGTACACACACAAATATACACACACGACACGTCAAGGAGTACCCCGACGTGAGTACACAACTGTACACACACAAATATACACACACGACACGTCAAGGAGTACCCCGACGTGAGTACACAACTATACACACAAATATACACACACGACACGTCAAGGAGTACCCCGACGTGAGTACACAACTATACACACACAAATACACACACAACACGTCAAGGAGTACCCCGACGTGAGTACACAACTATACACACACAAATACACACACACAACACGTCAAGGAGTACCCCGACGTGAGTACACAACTATACACACACAACTGTGTACACACACACGACACGTCAAGGAGTACCCCGACGTGAGTACACAACTATACACACACAAATACACACACGACACGTCAAGGAGTACCCCGACGTGAGTACACACAACTGTACACACACAAATATACACACACAAATATACACACACGACACGTCAAGGAGTACCCCGACGTGAGTACACACAACTATACACACACAAATACACACACGACACGTCAAGGAGTACCCCGACGTGAGTACACACAACTGTACACACACAAATATACACACAAATATACACACACGACACGTCAAGGAGTACCCCGACGTGAGTACACAACTATACACACACAATACACACACACGACACGTCAAGGAGTACCCCGACGTGAGTACACAACTATACACACACAAATATACACACACACGACACGTCAAGGAGTACCCCGACGTGAGTACACAACTATACACACACAAATATACACACACGACACGTCAAGGAGTACCCCGACGTGAGTACACACAACTGTACACACACACGACACACGTCAAGGAGTACCCCGACGTGAGTACACACAACTATACACACAAATATACACACACGACACGTCAAGGAGTACCCCGACGTGAGTACACACAACTGTACACACACAAATATACACACAACACGTCAAGGAGTACCCCGACGTGAGTACACAACTATACACACACAAATACACACACGACACGTCAAGGAGTACCCCGACGTGAGTACACAACTATACACACACACGACCACGTCAAGGAGTACCCCGACGTGAGTACACAACTAACACACACACACAACACGTCAAGGAGTACCCCGACGTGAGTACACAAACTATACACACACACGACACGTCAAGGAGTACCCCGACGTGAGTACACAACTATACACACAAATATACACACAAATATACACACGACACGTCAAGGAGTACCCCGACGTGAGTACACACAACTATACACACACAAATATACACACGACACGTCAAGGAGTACCCCGACGTGAGTACACACAACTATACACACACACGACACGTCAAGGAGTACCCCGACGTGAGTACACAACAACTACACACACACAACACGTCAAGGAGTACCCCGACGTGAGTACACAACTATACACACACACGACACGTCAAGGAGTACCCCGACGTGAGTACACACAACTATACACACACAAATATACACACAACACGTCAAGGAGTACCCCGACGTGAGTACACAACTATACACACAAATATACACACAACACGTCAAGGAGTACCCCGACGTGAGTACACAACTATACACACACAAATATACACACAACACGTCAAGGAGTACCCCGACGTGAGTACACAACTATACACACACACGACACGTCAAGGAGTACCCCGACGTGAGTACACAACTATACACACAAATATACACACAAATATACACACGACACGTCAAGGAGTACCCCGACGTGAGTACACACAACTGTACACACACAAATATACACACACAAATATACACACGACACGTCAAGGAGTACCCCGACGTGAGTACACACAACTATACACACACACAACACGTCAAGGAGTACCCCGACGTGAGTACACACAACTATACACACACACACACAACACGTCAAGGAGTACCCCGACGTGAGTACACACAACTATACACACACACAACACGTCAAGGAGTACCCCGACATGAGTACACACAACTGTACACACACAAATACACACACACGACACATCAAGGAGTACCCCGACGTGAGTACACAACTATACACACAAATATACACACGACACGTCAAGGAGTACCCCGACGTGAGTACACAACTATACACACACAAATATACACACTAGACCTGAAGGAGTACCCCAACGTGTGTACAGGGATATATATAAATAAATATATATACTGTATATATACTAGTACATACACACATATATACACGAGTACCTCGATGTGAGTACCTATGACGTCTTATTTATAGCTGAGATTTATTTTTCTGTTTTCTTTTGACTTGTACATTTATATTTATATAATTCTGTTTGATTTCTCTCGTGTCTCTTGCTTTTTTTTTTTTTTTTTTGCTGCTTCTCTAAAATGTTTTATCACCACTTCAGCAGAAAAGTTCCAGAGTGCAGCTTTAGTTTGTATTTTTAGAATCATGACAATCTTCTTTTAAAACATGTGGATGAAGTCATGACCACGATCGTGTTACTCACAGAGTCCAGAGACAGAAAGAGGAAAGAGGACAGAGGACAGAGGAAAGAGGAGAGAGGAGAGAAGAAAGAGGAAAGAGGACAGAGGAAAGAGGAGAGAGGAGAGAGGAAAGAGGAGAGAGGAAGGGCATCTGGAGTAAAAATAAACCTGGAAGTGTGTGAACAGATCTGATCATGTTTTTAATTATGACTCAGAGAAACAGCAAGAGACGCACACACACACACACACACACACACACACACACACACACACACACACACACACACACACAGACACACACACACACACACACACACACACACACACACACACACACACACACACACACACACACACACACACACACACACACACACACACACACACACACACACACACACACACACACACACACACACACACACACACACACACACACACAGACACACACACACACACACACACACACACATGTTCATTCTGACCTCAGGTTCACTGTTTATTACTGATTTAAAATTATATTTCTTTGTATTTTTCACAAACATCAAACTCCTGCTGTTGTAGAAGTAACAGTAGTAGTACTAGTAACACATAGTATTTATTTGGTAGTAGTCATGATGGTTGTATTCTTATATTTATTAGTACTCATAGTATTTGCAGTAGTAGTAGTAGTAGTAGTAGTAGTACTTTTTTATGTTTGTAGACTCTTTTACACTTTGGGGCGTGTATAGTTGTTGTTGTAGTAGTACTCATATTAGTAGTAGTATTATGAGTATTGGAACTTTTTCTGTGTACTTCTGCCCTGTCTTGAGGTCACTCAGTGTAGTAGTGGTTGTAGTAACAGTAGTTGTACTTGCAGCAGTAGTAGTGGTACTACTAGTAGAAGTAGTAGCAGTAGTATTTTCCTATATACTTTTGCCTCAGTGTTCTTCACGGTAGTAGTAGTTGTAGCATTTTCCTGTGTACTTCTTTTCAGTAGTAGCAGTAGTAGTAGTAGTTGTAGTGTTAGTACAGATTCTGTGTACTTGTTTTCAGTAGTAGTAGTAGTAGTAGTACTAGTATAGTTTCTGTGTACTTTCCTCCTTCTTAGTAGAAACAGTAGTAGTAGTAGTATTTTGTTGTGTACTTTCGTCCTTCTTAATAGAAGCAGAAGTAGTTGTTGTATTTTCCTGTGTACTTGTTTTCATTAGTAGTAGTTGCAGTAACAGTAACAGTAGTAGTTGTAGTAGTATTTTGTTGTGTACTTTCCTCCATCTCAGTATAAGTAGTAGTAATAGTACTAGTATAGTTTCTGTGTACTTTTCCTCCTCCTCAGTAGAAGCAGAAGTTGTAGTAGTAGTAGTGTTACTAGTAGTTGCAGTAGCAATAATAGTAGTAGTGGCAGTAGTAGTATTTTGTTGTGTACTTTCCTCCTCCTCAGTATAAGTATAAGTAGTAGTTGCAGTAGTAGTATTTTGTTGTGTACTTTTCCTCCTCCTCAGTATAAGTATAAGTAGTAGTATTTTGTTGTGTACTTTCCTCCTCCTCAGTATAAGTATAAGTAGTAGTAGTAGCAGTAGTAGTATTTTGTTGTGTACTTTCCTCCTCCTCAGTAGAAGCAGAAGTGGAGAGTGTGACTCTGTGACTCTGGTGAATCACATGATGTCGTCGTTGATTCGGCCAATCACAGAGGACAATGCTCCCTCTCATGGGTCACATGACACACACTGACATGAGCTAACACAGGCTAATATGGCTAACTCATGACAGCGGGTCGTGAGTCGCGGTGCTGCGTCCACATGTGGGTCAGGGGGGCGGAGCTTCAGTCTCCACTCACATCTGACAAACGTCCCGTTTCCACGGCGACGCCAAGGCGCAAAACATTAAAATTATATTTTTATAAAAGAATTACTTCTGTTTTTTCTCCTCTGTTACACAACACAGACCAGGACTAAACC